TCAATACTATCTGTTTGGATTCCTTCCCCTGCTGAAACCCATATCTGCGATACCTTTGGCGCCTAGTATGTGTCGTTATATTTATGTGTGGTGGTAACACTGATGATTGTTTAGGGCTCGTTAGTTGGTCACTCGTTCATAGATTTGATACGTTAGACCTTGTTCCGGTATGTGTAAGATCGAGAGGTTCTTCTGCTACTAACTCGTTACTTAGCACATCAAATCTTCCGTCCTTATAGTCCATGCCGGTGAGTTGACATTTAAATTTGCATCATTTTCATTTAACTGACCCTTCGCAATCCAGAGGACGACTGGGACATTCCGCACACCCACGCGTCCATTCTCTTCGATGCGTTCATTGAACCCGCCGTTCCCCTTGCACCCTCGTTGCCCGAAAATCCGCTCTCAGAAGAGGATTGGAAGATCTACGCCGTCGAGAAATCTGTGCGAGCCACCTATCGTGATGCTCGCATCTCTCGTATCAGCGTTGCAGGCTTTGGATATTTGGAAGAAGCAGAAATAGACAATAGAAAGGTCGCGCTGCTGAAGACACTCCATGGTGGCCATGATATTGGGCGAGTAGAAGGTGTGCAAGACGTGATTGGACGTACGTTCAGTCTTCCTTGAGGATTCCGACTGTTGTAGGTGTCGTATTTATTTGTATTCTCGTATATGCTACAGTATTAATACCATTACGTACATACCCTGCTGTAAAAACGTTTTTGATTATGAAATACCCATATAATTATAATGTCCTTGCATGAAAGTCCTGGTTGTCGGAGCTGCCATCTTTTCTTTTTGTGAGGAAATTGGAAGCCCATTTCTGAATCTCTGATTTTTTCGATGACTCGTGGGTTTTGAAGCTTCATAGAGAAAAAGACATGACGACCAGCGATGATGCGCACTTGCGCTTGGAGCGTTAAGGCTGAAGCATCGGACCGGAAAAGGGGGGGCTGGGCATCGGAAGCTTAAAATAGAATCAGCCTAGTTTCCCCGTTAAGCCCGTTAGGTGTTGTACGCTCTCATCTTATTGTCTTCCGTTTTTCACACCTCAGTTCCCACTCATGCCTGATTCCTCTTCAACAATTAGAAAGCTCCTAATAAGGACTCTGTCCATTGCCGTAAAAATGGATTCTGCAGTCTTAACAATAAGCTGTGGCACAAGCATCTCCGTACTTCACTGACCAACATGGAAGGCTCGACTGGGCGACGAGGAGCAGGTGATCCGAGAAGCCTAAGGTCCTGACAGGCCTTTTGTTCTAGGAGTATGTATACTGGAGCGGACCATTGTAGTGGAAAACGCTATCGACTGGTTTCTGGAGCCTTGCACTCCACACCTCTCCACATTTCGTATCTACGCCATTTCTTAGGTAGTTGCTTTGGCCCCGTCTTCCTCCTTGTTCAGTCCTTCATCTCCTGGTTGACCTCCATCCTATTTTTCAATCTTGTTCACCTCTCATTCTGCAATGTCTAAAGTTGTCTTTCCGGCACCCCCACCCACGACCAATTCGTTGACGTCTGAGCAACGCATCCAGCTATTACGCAGGACCAAGAAGCTCGGGCAGATTCTGGGTTCAACACCTCACCTGCTTGACGCGAGCGTCGTCAGCGTCCTAGGTGAGCATAACTCAATACCCGTCCAACTAGCTCAGCAGTACTAATATCCACACAGGGCCTATGCATATCGAGCTTCCATACAAGGAATCTCGAGTCCCAAGGCTATCAACGGATTCGCTATCATCATCTTCGTGTTCGACGTCAGACGACGATCTACCTTCGTCTCTAGAACGTAAAGCCTCTCTATCCTCGAGCTCGCACTCCATTCGCTCCATCGCTACCCGCGCAAGCTCGATCACTTCGCGTAGTAGCTCTTCTGAATCTGTGGATTCTTTTGACTCGTGGACAGGTAGAAAACCCCCTTTCCTGCGCCTCGCCAAAGCCTCGCCCCTCGAGTCTATCCCTGCCTCTCCTCTCCCATACACAGCCGACTCCGCCCCTTCCTCCCGCTCCCATTCCAGACAGAGCTCACTGGACGATTCGTACACGCTTTCCATCGGTCCTGCGCCCTCACCCCGAGATTCAATAACCATGCCGACCTTCAACATTCCATCGACGAACAGTGTGCGGCTTCAGAAGATGGAGAGGCTTAGGCGCAAGCTCGGGGATGGCGTTCCGCTGGATCTTGTCTTTCCCGAAGAGAAATCCGCTAAAGAGCCTACCGTTTCATCCGTACGGTATAAGAACGAGGATTGGGAGATACTCTCACCTCCTGTACCGACCCCACGGACCAAGCGTCAACCACGTATCGCCCAATCACGCGACTCCATCGTTGGGCCTTCTTCACCGCATCGTGCTCGCCGCAACAAACCCCAGCCACCACTTCCCACCACCGAAACCTCCTCGCAGCCACCATCACCTGCCCTACCCAGCTGCGTCTCCTCGCCTCACGTCCGACGACCAAGCGCCAGCTCTGGCAGGAGTGAAAAGCTCACCGTCATCATTGAGAGCCCCGACGAGCATGGTTCTGGATGTTCTGCCGAGTTCGGTATGGTTCATGCTGTCAGCGGTTACGACTCGACGTGGTACTCGAGCGACGACAGCGATGCACCTGCTACCCAAGTGTACAACACAAGAAGGGGCTACGAGGGGTGGTCCCAGCCCAAGTCGCCGCTTTCGAAAGTCGACGGTGCTACGAGGAAGTCATGGAGCTACAGGAAGCCACCGCCATCGATTGAATGTTAATGGCCAACTCACAGGAGCTATCTTTCTCAACGTCCCGGCGACAACTACACTTTCTCACTACGTTCTTCAACTCTGGAAGATTATGGATGATCTTCGCATTACTTTTATATATCTTGTCGCAACTTTCCCCCACATCTTGCATTATTTCTGTGGTTTCTTTCATCTTCATCGACATTTACATACCCTCAACTGCATTTTTCAACGTTACATGTACCAGTCTTTTACATATAATCATTGCACTTCTTATATCCCCCGCATTTTCATATGGCATAAGTACCTAGTTACGACGCGAAGGTCTTCTGGAAAGGCTCTCTTCATCAACCACCCCAAATGATATCGAAATGTTTGCTTTAGATTTAAATGTGTCTGGCGGTGGGGCATAGTCGACTGTGACAAAAACAGTCTCTAACCCTCTTCAGAGCGCTGTGTCGTCAAAAACCTTTACGGATTGCAAATAAAAGTAACTAGTTAAAAAGTCTGCACAAAGAAGTGATGAGAGTGGGATTCGAACCCACGCCCCGGAGGACCAGATACCCAATCCCGAAGGAAGAGGAGAAGTGGACATAAACTGCCCTGATCCTTAGTCTGGCGCCTTAGACCGCTCGGCCATCTCACCATGTCTCCATGTCGACGGTGCGAAGCTAAAGTCTTAATATCGCTTACAGGAGATCACTCCCACTGTTAAATCGATTAGCGGCTGCACGGCCCGCACCTACAGTTACCGACTTGCATCATCAAACTCTAGTATTCACTGGCAGTACGTATATTTTGATCAATTAAGTACGCTCATCACCAGCAGGTATCATTTACAGCTCAGATCATGGGTTGGATTCTCATGATTCTCACATTCGGATTCCCATATACACCATCTAATGCAGAGTTGCTTATCCAGACCTATAACCATTCAGGTCTATATAAGAAATGTATTCAAGCTTACACCCATCGAGTCTATTATCGTTCAAGTCGAGACTTACGGCTATAGCAAAGTAGAAAATATCGTGAATACCGTTGGCGAATGTGAAATACATATCTGAGCTTATCATAGTTTTCGATGATCAAACAGAGATAAATCGAACGACCCTTCTGTCTAGAGTACCATATGATGGGCTTGGCTTGCCACAATGCGATGAATCTGGACAATGGGGTGGAGATCTCTCATGCTGCCTTCCAACACCTTGTCCAACGATGCGATGTGCCCAGAAGTATATAAGTTGATCAATTCTCCTCCTCATAACCTCACGAGATCTCACATCCTGTTCCTCAGGGCATAAGTGTTATCTCGATCAATCTGGGTGTTGCTAACGTGGGTTTTATGGAGTTAAATCGTAATATACAGACTCTACGCGCGGCGATCATTTTCTGGATGCTGATTAGAACTATTTTACTATCTTTGTAGTATTTTGATGCTGCTGGAAAGAGTAGCGGATATAACGGCGATTGATGGCGAGGCAACTGAAATTTTCAGAGTTAATACACTGCTTAATGGACGCTGTGTATTTACCGCGCCAGTGATATCGGTCGTTTTGTCGGTTACTGAATCAAGTAGTTGCTATACCACTTCAAGACAATGATTTTGCAGGTGGTGATATCACGTGACTTACAGGTTCTATCATGCAACGAGGAACGAGTGTCATTACAGAACGTAGGGCTAGAATTGGGGTTTGTGGATCATATTTGACCGACTACACTACATAAATGTACAGACTTTGAGTGAGCGAGGGTGCATATGATCGGCATCATCTTTGATTCTCACCACCAATATCGCCCTTGGTCCTCCCACAAAACTCAATCATTCAAGAAGCACTCGGGGGATCATCGTGATCCCAAACCTTGCTTTACTCATCCCCTATTCCCATGGAGTCACTTCACTCAGCATAAACTAATTTACTTTAATTATATAGCTCTGGGCTTTCTGGGAATTTGTCTATAAAAAAACATACACTGACATATTCTGGAGAAAAAATTCCAGACATGAATGTATCCGTTGAGATTACACTGCTGCTTGTATGTCACTCTTACTCTCGCAGCGTCTTTCAGATACATCCTACGTTATATAAGATAGACTTCCTACAAGGTATGGTTAGGAAGTGCTTCGCACTTTCACCCGCTAGCCGATTACTTGCTTCCTTTCATATTCACAGCCACCTAGTTTGAGCATTGTACTTAAGACCTACGGAACGCCACGCATTTCAAGATACGTTCTAATCGGAAAAATACAGGGAGTCCGTAAGAAATCGTAAAGACTGACAAAAGGTTAATGATGAGAGTGGGATTCGAACCCACGCCTCGAAAGACTAGAGATTTGAAACATCTTGAAAAGACAAGATAGTCTCCTAAATCTAGCGCCTTAGACCACTCGGCCATCTCACCGTGCGAAGGATATTGTGTCTGTGTGTAAAAAGTCTACGTTACAGATCAACCATAATTCTGACGCACTTGTTCCTCACCGTCAACAAAGAGAAAGTATTGTAATTACTAACAGCTCATCCTGGCAGCTTTTTTCCATTTGTCTCATTAATACACTGATACAGACACCTCTTCTAGTGGTTGCTTGACTTTTTGAAAAGCGACGAGAGCATCGCGACATTCAAGAGACATATTTATCATTGTAAATTCTTTCTAAATATCCATACTTTTACACGATAGTAGTATAAGAAGGGCTTTATACACCCAAGACAGCGTCAACTTACGTTAATATGAAAGCAGCGATACCATATTTGGTAATAATGCTGTGTACGCTGTTGCAAGTAATCTTTGACCGAGTAGTCCACTGCCACGAGGTAAAAACAAACGGCGGTACATTTTTAACTGGATCATATGCATAACAATTGATTACTATGAGAGAGGTATCTGAACCTATTCCTCGGAGAACCAGATACGATGAATCGTAGAGAAGAATAAACTGCTTGGGTCCCCAGTCTGGCGCATTAGACCGCTCGGCCGTACCAATATGTATCAACATATTTTCGTCCGTGACCAACTCTTAAAAATCTTCGTCGAGGCTTGGCAATGTATACTGGATCAATAGAGCAAAGGAGAAAGCTTACAAAGAGTCGGAGTATCATTGGTGCTAAACCAAAAGACAGATCTATTTCGATATGCTGCGTTTATTTCCATACTAATCATATTTGAGTGGTAGTGCCGTTTATGCTTCATTTTAAATGCCAGAATATTAAGCGGTAAATATATGATAAGCCCGACAAATACAAATCCTAGACCCTATAGCAAGAGCTTGGCAACTTGCGAAACAGCCAATGAGGAAGCCGCATCAGCAGCTACTAGTAATGGTGCATGTCACCTTAAACAATTAATAGCAACAAATCATGCTAACACGAAGACAATAAATAGGGACGCTTATATAAAGAAACTACTCACGTATAACTTCTTCGATTTCATAGCCAGCAAATTCACAAAAGAACTTGTGTTAAATGATAGATATTTCAATAATTACAAACAAACTTATTCGACTCGGATTTAAACAGTATAGATAGATACGTCCTTTTCCTTCTAATTCACTGCGCGAAGTGTCATTAACTTTACTGGGAGGCTTTAATAAGGTCGGCAGCCTTCTCTGCGACCATGTAGGTCGGGGCCATAGTATTGGCAGAGGGAATGATGGGGAAGATACTGGCATCAGCGACGCGAAGATTCTGGATCCCATACACTCTGAGGTTGGAATCGACAACACCGCCATCAGCAAGAGCCTTCATCCCGCAGGTACCAGAAGCCTGGTAAATGGGATGAGCGATCGTCTGGATAGCCGTGAGGATTTCAGCATCGGTTTGGGCCTGGAGGCCGGGGAAAGCCTCGTTCAGGACGATAGGGGCGAGGGTTTGGGACAGCATGACCTCGCGGACCTGCTTGAAGGCCCAGATGGCGACTTTCTGATCAATAGGAGACTCAAGCCAGTTGGGTTGGATAGTGACTTTATCGCTTGTCGAGTTGGAATTGAGAGTGACGGCGCCACGAGAGAAGGGGTAGAGGAGAACAGCAGCTGTGCTGACAAAGTTTCCTGGTCTGGGTACAGGGGTAGATCCGCTGGCCTGCGAGAGCAGAGTGAGTTATAAATGTAAAATGGCAGGTGCTTTTTTACTTACAATGATTTCGTATTGGATATGGGGCCAAGTAGGATCGAGAGCACTGAGTGCTTGTGCACCGAGACCGGCGAGAATGCTGTCGTCGATGCGCTGGTAACCACTCATGCTAGAAATAACACCAGTAAGCTCGCCTTTGTTTTGCTGGTACTGCTGCAAGTATTCATTGTATAGGGTCGCATTGTTGCCAAACTGGTTAAAAGTGGTGATGTTGTCGGTGACCTCGTAAACCGGGCCGAAGAACAAATGATCAGTCATATTCTGACCAACGCCCTTGAGGTCTGCGCGAACGGGGATGTTGAATGAGCTGAGTTGAGCTGCAGGGCCGATACCAGATACCATGAGAAGTTGAGGAGAGCCGAAAGCACCGGCAGAAAGAACCACTTCTTTGTTGGCCGAAACTGTCTGAAGAGCGCCTGTAGCATCGCGGTATTCCACACCAGTAACTGTTGTGTTCTGGTTAGGATCGAATAAGAGACGAGTTGCCAATGCGCTGGTGATAACCTGCAGGTTTGAACGGCTAGATGCTACACTAAGGAAGCTAGTGGAGGAGGAATCGCGTGTCATGTGGGTGGGGTTCACGGTGACGGGAAGATAAGCTTGGCCCAATGGGAAGCCATCATTAATCTCTCCTGGTTGAAGATTGAGACCACTAGTATTGGCGAGACCTTCAGTAAAGTAGATAGAAATGGGTTCTATATAACCCCCATACGAAAGGTGTAAGGGACCGCCAGTAGGGTTCGAGTATGCGGCTTCGTCGTAGACAATAAAGGATTGGTCGGCAGCAGGTGCGGTGAAGTTGACACTCTACGAGTTGAAAGCTTCAGTACGGCGCGCATGAAGAGAAAGAGAGAACACACCTTTTTGAAGTAAGGATATACACCATTCCAATCCCATCCATGATTACCTAGAGCAGCCCATGAATCGTATGTAGTAGCTGCACCACGAGTGTAAGCCATAAAGTTTGTTGAACTAAAAATCATGTATGAGTTACGCTGGGATCCCGTAAGTTAGGCTACGAACCTCGATCCACCTAGGACGTGACCTCTAGGATATGCGATCGTCCTATTCAAAAGGAATGGCTGTTCTGCCGTCGTATAGTTCCAATCGACAATACTACCGCCAGTGACAGTCAAATCGAGACCAGGAACGCTGTACATATATATGGAATTAATAGAAGCCAAGTTGAAATACTCAAAAGATGCGTACGTGACATTGAAGTCGATGGAATCACTGGGTCCAGCCTCAAGAACGAGTACATTCACATGCGGATTTTCTGTCAAACGAGATGCAATAACAAGTCCAGCATTTCCACCTGGAAAATTAAAACATTTAGTAATCAAACGAAGCGACAAGAATACATTTACGAACCACCAACGACGATGTAGTCAAATGAAGCAGCTTTAGAAAGTGCTGCTGCTCCAATCAAGCCAAATGCAGAGGTTATGAATGAACGCATAGTTCAAGGAGTTTCAAGTGCCCTGTGCAGGAAGTGAAGACAAGACTGCCGTTTCATGGGTTAATCTAGCTGGTATAAGTACTGCGCCCTTTCAGCCAGGAACTGTCAAAGAGCGATATGACAACAGCAAAACCAGAAGCGTATGGGCGGGACCCATCGCACGCCACCTCCGACTCCGGATAAGCGTAGTGTCAGCGTAAAATTTTGAGCTGTGGCCTGCATGTCGTGGGTCGTGAGCAAGGAGGTGAAAACCATTTGCGGTAGCTGTCAGACGACGCTGCTAGACAAGAGCATGCAAATACATGTAACCGACTCTAAGCGACAGCTTTTTGGTTACGATCGCGGTGATCTTCTCTTTCTGCCCTTTGATGCGATCGAAGAATCTATGACCGACTGGCGGGTCGGGTTCGCGCTATTAGATCCTATAATAGGACCACTTACCAGCCTCGGGATAAAGCTACAAAATATCAAAGCGGCCCCATGGAAATGTCCGGATGTTATCGAAACAAAATGAATCTGGGTGCTTTCCATATGCATCAACTATAGTTGACTAGTAAAGTGCGTCATCAAATAATTGGGCTATGAAGCATGAGTGTCATCATATTTTTTGTATAGCCTAGAGAGATCCTTTGGATTTATATATATAAAGTGGTTACTCGACTTCAAGACAGGATTTACAATGCCATATTCCTCGACCCGGATGCAATTTATTAATAGAACATACGATCGAGGCAAATGTCGCCATCGTTTCTTGACATCGGACGCTCGGTTATTCATATCGCCGGATTCTTCTCACCAGCGCGAGAATTAGAATTGCATTCAACCAAATAGCAGTACAATAAGTTGTACTAATCCAGGGAGTCGAATAAGTATATCAGCGAAAGCATACCAAGGCAAACACCTATAAATATCAAAACCTCTCCTCAATTACTACGGAATTATTGGCTCTGTCAAGGCAAATCATCAGCCGAGAACAACATTACATAGCCTTTTTACACCACGTGGCCGTCTCCTTACAACTGAACGGCATGATAATCTGTTGGCTTTGGGGTTATCAGTGCGGGTCACGAAAGATGATAAAAAAGGACAGATATCACCGCGCGCTTCATTGAAGAATGCGAGTCGGAATGCTTTTCAGTCGGAAGACTCCAACCTGCGCACCTCAATTCGAAAGGGATTGCTCATAGTCTCCATCACTAGGGGAGAGTCAGTCCTCTAGCTTGCATCCGATATTCAAACGTTCACCCACCAGGCGTTGATGATTTACAGAGTATCGTCCCTGAATCTGACAGAGAACCTTTCCCTGAACTCTTATGATTTTTTTCTTTACGTCTGCTTCTCCGAGGGCAAGGACAAAAGCATGACCGTGTTACTATGATGTTTATCTTCAAGAAGTGGACCAGATCGAACGGGGCATAGGTTCTGGAGAGGTCTTATACCTATTCAGGGAGTCTAGTTTCTTCCCGCCTCCTTCTCCTTCACATTGTCCCTTACGCCTTCGACTTTCAGAGGATAACTCTCCCACACAAGGAGTTAATGTTTCCGCTGAATATCTGTTCACTCAATACGCCGATACTCGACTGTGATGGCCATATGTCTCCTCGCGAAATCCTCCATTTCGTTTTCGGGAGTGTATTTTCAGCCCCGATATGGAACCGAGGTCCCCGCTCGTGAGCCGACTGCGCAAATGAGCCGCCCATCGGATGGAGTCATAATTGTAGGATGACGAGTCCAGAACTCGGCGGGAGGGCGGGACGAGACTGGAATATCAATGCATGTGAGTGTCGGAGAAGTTGTCAGAATCCGAGGATTGCCATAGGAATAATATCTCAAACACGTAGATCGTGGAGATTCAGGCTTGCAGATGGTTTGAGGGAGCTAACATGTATCTGTCGGCGGTGGTCGCACTGAGCGAGCCTGCATGGTGAAATTATTCGTGAACATCCCTGGGATATATGTTCATCTTTGTTGGGAATTGAAATATTAGTAAAGGTCTGCGGAAAGTATCTAGGATTATTGCTAAAATACCTTGCCCACGGCGGTCATACCTGCATTGCGAGAGCATATGTAAATGAAGGAATTCGTGCCGAACACCCCTGAAATGTATTTTTACCCCCGTTACTAGGGAAAACACTGGATACACCCAGCCTAAGTGCTTCATGCAGTTCTTTCACCACCTAAATCCAATTGCAATTATTTGATTTAAAAAGAAATAAAGAAATAAAAAGTACTAAAAAGAGATATTTAGTGTTAGCTCACACTCTTCCAATTATCTTGGACCAATTCATGGTCGAATTTCGATAAAGAAAAAGAGCGAAAAATATGATGAGAGTGGGATTCGAACCCACGCCCCGGAGGACCAGATTACAAGGTGTGAACCTTACAACGATTGAACATCAAATGTCCTGATCCTTAGTCTGGCGCCTTAGACCGCTCGGCCATCTCACCATTTTTGTTTCTCCTGAAAAGTACGCCCAGGCCACCCGGGGTCGTCATCATGCACGAAAGTAATAGTAGTTTTAGTCTTTATATTCTAATTGGTAATGGATGACTACAGAGCTTGGAAGATATTCACGTGATATATCACTTTTGACCCTAGGTCCTGCGGGAATTGATTCGGAGTAAACCATCGATGGATTCGTAAATACTACGCTCGTGATCAGCGCAGCCTTCGCGGTACAATCTCATGGCTTTACCAAAATATTAGCTGCTATCCGTAATGACTGGAGCCGATTACATAGAAATTCGTTAGTAGTAATGATTCAAAGTGAAAGCCCCCTAATTGCTCCCTCTCTCACCTTAGGAGCGAACGTGAGAACTATCTGTGCCTTCCCTTTCCATATGACAGAATTGATTTATGTACCAGAATAGAGTACACTGCCTGTAAAGTCGAGAATGGCCCGAGAGATGCGGGAGAGTATGTCTGGCCTCGTCAGTGTAGTCATCACTCCGCTGGTGACCCTGGCTATCCAGGGGTCCATGTGTATTAAGTTTATGCAAGTCCACGTAAACCAATAAAATCTCCAGTGATGCCTAAATCCCTTGCCATTACCACTACCCTTCTCGCTTCACAGAATAGTGCCATCGCGAGTCCAGAGCTTGGAGACCGCGCTAAATATATGTATGAAATAATTTATCCCGCGATGGTTCGTTACTAATTTAAAGTCAAACTATATCAATAGAAGTCCTTGCAGTTACGGGGTAAAGTCAAGTAAAGTACCATCGTAAACCAAAATGAAATGAATATTAAATCTTTTGACTGAGAGATGTGTATTCTGAAAGGATATTATTGGTTGCAGTAAATCTGCAAAAATGCAATTGTAAGCATTATAACAAATTTTAGAAGATGAAATTACTTAATTCTGTGCCCACCGCTACTTTATGCGAGAAGATTGTGGCACTGTGATTAAACAAGAAAGTGCGAAAAGTCTGAAATATATGGTATGCATAAATGCTCATATCTTATATCCGAATATTGCGAGATTGGATATCTCTGGAGTTTATGTTGAATCTAGCGAGCATATCTTCTCTAAATGTGAGATATTATCGTACCTGTATGACGCCTGAGAGTTCAAGGATTTGAGCTACTTCAAATTATTTGGACCTAGACGATGACCAGATACTATTATTATATCCTACAAAGATATGGACTATGGGAGCTACTGTGAAAAGTAATTATCTCATAATAATGACCGTTCATATAAAATGCTTATCGGAGTTTTCGCGGAAACTTTATACCATGGTTAACTTGCTTCTGTAGGTTGAAAAACAATTCGAAATCTATCAGCTAGTATTAGGCATATTGCAATGAAAGGCAACCTCGGCGTGAGAGACGAGACAATATTTGCTCACTATCTACGCTTGTACTTGGCATACCGTAACACCGTGTCGAAATGACATTATTGAATATCAAAATGGTGTCAGCTGCTGTTCATCATTATGAAATTCGATTATTATCCGACAGATTGGGAGGCACATGTCATCAAGGAGTAAACTCAGCTTCATTCAAATGCATTCCGCCTGTAACTCAATCTAGAAGTCTACTAGCCGATGTGTATAAAGTTAACTGAAAATTAACGACAGAATCAAGAGAACTGCCGCTCATGTTCAAAACTCTTGCCTTTGTATTTGCCCTTCTGGTTGCTCAGGTGGTCGCGTCTCCGAGCCCACAGCTTGGCCCGACAGCTACTATTTGTAAGGATGTTATTATGCTTAAATGGCTCATCGCTAATGTAGAGTCTACTTTATGCAGGCCCTGGCAGTAACGAGGTCAGTTCACATTCGGAACATAAACGATAAAATGCAGTACTCAACGCGTCTATACAGATTTGTATTCGAAAAGGGTATTATTGTTGTGGTATATCTGCACAAATGCAATAGTAAGCTTCGTAACAATCATCGTAGATGAAAACTTACTGACCTTGCCCAGCTGCATGCCCACCAGCGTTGTTTGTTAAAAAGTTCTACGGGATAAAATGAATACGATTATACATAGTTCCATGTAAAATTTCCTGCGAGATTCGTTGGCGGCTGGCCATTCAATCCCTCCAACCCTCGGTGCGCTGTTAGGAAAAACATGGTCCATTAGAGTACTCACGAACTAAGTAAAAGAAGAGCTTGATGAGAGTGGGATTCGAACCCACGCCCCGGAGGACCAGATACCAACACCCGTAAGTGGAGAGGTGGATAGAAACTATCCTGGTCCTTAGTCTGGCGCCTTAGACCGCTCGGCCATCTCACCATGTGTCGGCTGATTGTCGTCGACGACCAGTTCGCAAAGATGTCCGTTCGAGACTTGACAATGTAAAATGCCACAGAAGCAAGAGAGAAAGCCTACATAGAGCTGGAGTGTCGCTATTGCTGAACTGAAGGACAGAGCTACTCCAATATTTCCGACATTGTGTTTCCATACTAATCATATGTAAGTGGTGTTGTCATTTATGCTCATTTCGAATGCGAGAAGACCAAGCAGTAAACGTTTGGTAAGCCCAACAGATTTGAATCCTAGGGCTCTATGGCAAGAATTTCACAACCAACGACGTAACCAACAAGCGGCACCGACGTGTGGTGGTGTATGTCCTTCAAAAGAACGATAGCAGCTAGGACATGCGATTATAACCGTTAACCTGAGGGCAGAAATATCTGCACAAGGAATATGCTAAATGCTTGAGGGATAAGATAGTATCAAAGTAAAGGGCCGTCAAGCAGCCATAAGCGTTTTAGCAGCTGCGCCATTCTCCTTGCACGGAGCTTTGTGGCGAGACCAATCGAACTTCTAAGAGATCGTAGAATAAGCAAGAGGGCGACACTATGGATTTAATAACTGGCAAAAAGAAATTAGGAAAGAAGAAACGAACCTGGCATTCCGTAGAACAGTAAAAGGCACATCTACAACCGCTGCATGCATTTAGAGCTTCGCGCCTTAGGAGACTTTTGGTGCACTGCGAAAAATGACGAAATTTCCGTCAGACAGAATTACAATGGTGCAATAGAAGTCGAGCCAGGAAAGTGCACCTTCATATTAGAGCATCGCATTGACTTGTCTTTCTCACCCCGAGCTCTCAATGCCCTTGCCCTAACCAGTTGACCTTGCTTCTCTTTTAAACGTGCCAGATACTCTCGAGCCTGTGCCGCCTCCTCTTTACTCCCCAAACCTAGTCCTCCAAACTCTTTGCTCTCCCGCACTTTCAGTACCTGATTAAATGCCTCCTCTGCTCCTTCGATTTCACCTATGCAAATAGAGCATTCGCCGAGGCCAATAAATCCGTTGGCGCATTCTAATGAGTCCATCCCGTACAGCTTGTCTAGGTAAGGGATGAGTGAGAGATAAGATCGCATTGCAGAGCGCCAGTCTCCCATTGCTTTGAAGGATTCTCCTTCTGATCGGTGACGTTCGATCAGATGCTTGACTTGAGCGATTTCAGAGGCATTTAGTTCAGATTTTGATAGAAGACTCATAGGGTCGCAGGAATAATCAAGAACGAGCGGCGTCGCAAATGATCAGGGTAGGCAGGCTAAGAGTTTAAAGATATGAGTAAAACTTTCGTTTATAATACGGCCAAATACTAGAGATACGGTTTTCACTGGCAAATAAAGAGGGAAGGGAGAGTACAGCAAGTACGTAGTGCGTTAGATTTCGAGAGCCAGCCAGAACGCTGCAAATGTTGATTTTGGATGAGAATAGCACAAGTTTCTAACTGAGCGAGTCTTATGACACATGGTAAAAATGAAACTCCTATGTACCCAGCTCTAAGTACTATGTTGTAAGTATCTATAATGTTATTCCAATCAAAGTGTTCGAAGGCGCTTATGTTTCCAGTGAGCTTTACAAGAAAAATATTAGTTGATACCATCCATAAAGATCTATGCTCGACTTGCGCCCGAACGTTTCTCTAAGCCTATGCACCAAACTGATGTTACCATCTCGTGATATCGACCTCTGCCTCCCCAAAGATACTCGTCTTCTTAACCCCAAACCCTTCCTCTGGCTCGCCTTCCTCCGGTTTCTCGTAAACTTCAGGGAGCTCCTTCTTCAAGAATCGCAACAGATGCATATTGATCTGCTCGAACTCCAATAAGAACCCATCGTGTCCATCCGGGGAGGGTATAACCACAAGTTCAGCACCGGTTATGTGCTCTGCGATTTCTCTTTGTTCTGATGTTGTGAAGAGTCCATCTGTGGCGATACTGATGACTAGCGCGCGTGGAGGAAGAGTGGAGAGCACTTTTGCTAATGCAAGGGACTCATCGACACCCAACTCTCGTCCTCTTGCGACGTCGTGCGTATCGAGCTTGCGCGTGATGTGAATATAGCAGTTAGCGTCAAACCTTGCCGTGAACTTATCACCTTGATATCGCAGATACGACTGTGCAGAGAAGATGGTCGGGGACATCGCACGCGTCGACTCCGATTTGACGTCAGGCGTTCGCGGCTTCGCATTCCGATGCCCATCATTATGTGCCGACAGCGCATCGTCCGTTGGCGTCCTATGTAGCTGTGGTTTGCGTCCAAACCGGCTCTCAAACGAATCTCGAGAGCGGTATGTTAGGAGTGCGCTCATGCGGGCCGCTGCGAGTCCTGAGGCGGGCTGGGAGCTGTAGAATCCGTCTTGATAGACAGGGTCGCTGTAAATGCTCTGCCGTTGGGCCTCACCCCAGCTGATGCACCAGGCAGAGTGGCGGGCAGACGTGGCGATGGGAACAATGTGCCGGATGTAGCCTTGAGGCGTGCAGAGTGGCCATTCGAGGACTGCCATGCCACCCATGGATCCGCCGATGACAACTGCCACAGAGCGTACGCCTATGTAGTCTAGTACGAGTTTGTGTATCCTTTGTGATATTTAGCGAAGAATCGTATGACTTTCGCACATTTACATACCGCACGTCGTCCCGTATTGTTGTTGGTGGAAATTCGGGGCCATATGGCCTTCCCGTTTCCGGGTTGACGGTGATAGGTGATGCAGAGCCATAAGGAGATCCGAGTACGTTTGCGCAGAAGATAAAGAGCCGATTGGGGTCGAATGCTTTCCCTCGACCCATCAGAGGTCCCCACCTGTAAATTTCGATTAGATGGGCATAATATATAAGAATAAGTACAACTCACCAATCCTCCACATCTGCACTCCCCGTAAATGCATGACATATGATCATAACATTGTCCTTCGTCTCATTCATCGTCCCCCACGTCTTGTACGCAACTGGCACTTGCTTGAGCTCCGTTCCACATTCTAGCACAAAAGACGGTACGATATATGTCGATTGGTTGACCAGAGAAGTCAGAGGAGGCATGTCGAATTCGCTAGGCGTTAGGTAAACTAGCAGGCAGGTTGAGAAATTTTAGCCAGACTGACTTTCAACAACGGGCTCGAATTTTTGGCTTTTCAAAAGCTTTCCTGGGTCTTATAATTTATAGTACTGTCCAGGGGGCTACGTTCGGAAGAATCCGAGACGTCCACTCCTTAAGAGCGAGCCGAAATTAAAGTACCCTAAAAGGAAGGTGCATCTCGCTTAGATGTTAATTTCGGATTAGGTATCAATCACTGAGATGATTTCTTCTGCTCCAATGACAAGTTTTTATGGTGATAGTCTTTGAGTTCCTTTTTAAATACAGTCGAACCCCTCATAACCCATACACCTTCGGAGTCAGCCTGGAGTATGGGTTTTGAGGGGTTATGGGCTACCTGGATATTGCTAAAAATAGATTAAAAATATTAATTATTAAACAAATATTAAAATTTGTAACACTATAGCGATTAAAGACTAAGTGCGAGGGAAAATTTCAGTCAAAGTGGTACTTCTCATCGCATTAGTCCTATCCAAGTGGAGTTGATAGCTGAATGATGCTGAAATGGTCTCCAATTTGCGAGCGACGGGATCAAACCTTTTCTAACCCGTCAATAAAAAGCCGTTCATCTATGACATTGGTTTCATTGTCAAGCTAGCGCTCGTTTAAGGATGAGAGCTAGTGTTGCCACGGTTCGGCTACGGTTCGGCTCAGGTCAGCTTTGACCGGCTCAAGGGTCTTAGCGGCTTAGAAGCCGAAATGAACCGTAGGAATAGGGACGGTTTCGGCTCCGTTCAGCTTATAGCCCGGTTAAGCCACGGTTCATGCCTATATATAGTAGTAGTGAAAGACATTACAGGTGTTTTGTAGAAATACTTAGCATATCCAACTAATCACGCTCTTTCACCCATATTAACTGTTGTTAGTATGATGGAGTAATCGATTCAGGCATCTAGAGCTAGTTGAAGCTGTTGGAATCGCAATTACGCTACAAGTTATATTTAGCACGCGTGCAGTTAATCCTGCGTGTTGCACTCTGTAGCGCGTAGCTGCTCGCGCCCTCAATTTATACTTATTGGACTCTGTACTATACGGTAGGTACTTTTACACTCATATGTTGCACTGCCTACAGCATGCACCATATGTCTTATTTCTTATCTTCTGTTTCACTTCTTCATATGCACTGATTGCGCTATATTTCTCCTTGTAGTTACATATGAGCTTTCGTAGATAAAAGCTCGTAATTTCATCTAACTTTCTCAGTCGTTTGAACCATAAAAAACTGAGTCTATTGCGTCTAGGTTTCCACAGAAGCTTTGGTGTGGATCCAGTAAGTAGAATCATGTGGGTACGTTAGTGACGCTACTACTTGAGTCTGTCATACCTGTCACACATTAATATTTCTACTCCCCATTGCTGATAGCTCATGCTGTATAAAGTGTAAGTATTTATATATCAAGGAGGAGTCATTAAGAATTTTTTTTTTTGGTTGCTGGAGAGCATCATCAAAAACGAGTTCTTTACAATTGAGAAGGATATGAATATGCCACTGGCTCAAATGAAGCTGATGACACCGGTTTTTCTTGCAGCATGTACTTACTGTATAAGCTAATTTTTTGAAAAATATGAAATGTTTCAATTTTCGTATCCTTTTACCTACCTGAGGTGAAAATATGTTATTTCTTTTCTATGAAAAGTACAAGAGCCCAGGCTATATCCAAGCCGGGTCTGTCACGCAAGCGGAGTCACACAACACTAGGGTACATAGATGTCACTTGAATTTCACCGCTACAGTTTTATTGCTTCCAGTGCTTTAATCTCAGCACTACCTTAGCTAAAGTTCAGCCCTTATTATTTATTTTCAGTTGACTGTTGACCGTGTTAGTACTTCTTTTATTTCTATCAGTCTATCGAGTGTATTAATACTTATTACTCTACAGTGTTATGATATCATAGTG